TCATTTTTTTTCACCAAATTAATTTAATTTACATATTCTTTTTCCTCATTTAATTACAATATGATGTGCGATGGGGCTATTAGGTATTTTAGCAGACATGAATGATTTTTTAAACCGATAGTAGTTTGAACAACAGTTATTTCTCTCCTATTACATTCTTATTTTTAAAAAATTTATACCAAAAATATAAAAAATATTTTCCAGGAACCAAAAGAATTTTTTAAAATTTTTTGGAGGGGGGGGGCACCAAAATAGATTAGAAACGAGCATGATTTTAGACGATTTTTCTGTTAATTTTTATATATTTTTTTAATTCGTGAAAAATGATACCAAAAATTAACATCATTTAAAATAATATACCGTCTTAGGGACATGACTTATAATTTTTCTTAGAAATTATCAAATTAAATTAATATAACTATTAGGTCTGCATTGGGCGGGGGCAAAATTTTTTTAAAAACGGGCAGGCGGGTTAAAAAATTGTTTAGACTATGGGCGGGTTAAAAAATTTAAACAATGGGCGGGCGGGTTAAAAAAATTTGAAATCATTCAAGTAAATATAAATAAAAAATTGTTCTTATGAACTTTTTTGGATATTAAAAAATAAAATGCCCTTTTTTGGTATCATAAAAAGTTTTTTTTTCTTAAAATAAACTTTTTTGTATATTTAAAACTACTTTGGTGGGAACGACAAGAAGGAGATATGCCAAAGCTATCAAGATTAGCAAGAAAAATATTGGAAATTCCTGCAATTACTGCTTCTTCTGAACGAAGATTGCTGAAAGGTTTTTAGAACAAAGAAGAACGTATTGAATTCAGAAAATGTTGATTCATTATTATTTTTGCATTATAATTACATATAATATCAATTTTATATTTATATTTTTTTCATTATTTTATTTGATCAAATAAATCATCCAATTTAAATTAAATATTTTTTATGCTTAATATAGTAATTTCCTAAATTATAAAACTTTTTATAGAGGTGTAATGCTAATTATTTTTTATTAGATGCTTAAAAAATTGAAAGAATGGCCATAATTAAATTTTATAATAGCGGGCTTGGGTTAAAAATTTTTTATAAATAATGGGTGGGCGGGTAAAAAATTTTATACTAATGGGCAGGGAGACGGACAGGTAAAGAATTTTAAACTAATGAGCGGGCGGGTATATTTTTTTAAAAATATGGGCGGGATGGGCGGGCGGGTTAAATTTTATTAAAGCATTGCATAAGCGGGCTTATGGTCCAAAAACCTGCTCAATGCAGACCTCTAATAACTATATTATAATCCTGCATAACCTCCCGGTTAGCCCGGGCAGGAGGTAAAACATAATTAGTAAAATATTGGTCAGACTTATGACTTAATAAATATTATGTTGTTGCAATATCCGAAACATTTATCTATTAATAATATAATATATTAGGTATATTTAGAAAACAAAAATTCCTTCTCCTCCGTAGCAAATTTTTTGAAAAAATATAAATGGGCTAAAGCGCGTAGCTAGCGGGAGGGGTGGGAGTGGGGAGAGATCACCCGAAATATATTATCAGGCCCCCGGCCCGTTTGATAGACCAGGTCGGTATGGGTTAATTCATTTCCAATTTAAAAAAATGCACGACGTTTTAAAAAAGTATTTTCCAAGCGTTACTACTGCTAAAGCATGTAAAATGAAACTTAGAAAAATATCTAAACCCCAATCTTGAATTCAAAGGAAAGGAATGATTTGATTTTTTAACTGGCATATAACTTTGTTTGATTTATTCAAAGTGAATGGATGTATTTGCAATGAAAATACGAAACAATTTTATTGGGATTTTGAATCTATATCAGGTAAATATTTTAATGGAATCAGTTCTTTTGAAATCATTGTCTTTTTTCCATTTTCTATTTAAAATTATATTATAGATGATTATATATTTTTCTTATTTTGAGTCATTGTTAGAGAATACCTTACGGTATGTACCTCTTACTCGCATAGTCAATATCCATTTTATCTTGAATTATCTTTTATTTAACAAGGGGACTCTGTGTCACTGGCTTGAGAGGTCTCAGAGGGCTTTGATAATGCATATTGATGAATTTTTCTGCATTGTATAAAATCTAAAAAGGCAAACAAATCAATACAAAATTCGAACATGCAATTAATTTACCTTATAGGTTTAAAGAAGTGAAAACTTCTGAAGCCTAGGAAAATTATTTGTTATAATACTATTTGAGCAAACATTCTTTTTAAATTAAAATTCATTCTACTAAATTTTATGTTAGAAAAAAGTGACGAAAATTTCAAATTTTAAAGGTATAAAAGTAACAAAAAAATCAATTTTTTCTTTATTATAAGTCAAAATCGTTGACAAGTAAGGGATATAAACATAAATTAGTAATATGATAATGATTTGTATTTTATTTTAATCTTATCCAATCAATGGAAAAAAATAAACCGATAAAAAAAAAATTTTAATTTTTATAAAATACATTGCTGTCTAAGTTAACTTTCCCCTTTATGCCATTTCCATTTATTGATTTTTTAGAGCTTTCACGTTTTAGTTTTAATAAAAAGCTACTATAAATGTAATTATTTTTATTTTTTTCAAAATTTATTATTTAGTAAGTAAAGTGTGTTAGAAACTTGTATTGTAAAATAATATTATGAAAATAAAATAGGAGTTAGGAGATATGATTATATCGATGTTTATGAACAAATATTGGTGTGGTTGTTCTTTTATTATTTTACTTTTAAGAAATTGGATTTTTTTAAAATGTTTGCTGCCAATGTTATTACCTTTTTAATCTTTATGAAATTCTTTTATCATTTATTTTTCTTTCTTCCAATGTCATCTTTGCAACTAGTCAAGATGGTCATATTTTTCTTCACCAAGTCCCTACATTTTTTTACCCCCACTTCCCCCCCCCCTTCCTTTCTCCTAAAAAGTAAAAATAAGCATTTAACGATATTTAAAAAGCAAGTTAATAACTTTTTAAAATAATTACTATAATTCAAATTTTCGTAAAACTTAGACTAACTTCGTGAAAATCTTACTATGCATAAGATCCGTATAACACGGTCAAACCTCTGGCAAAGAGCTGGCCAATCCCTCTTAGCAAATCCAGGATAAACTGCTTATGTTAGACAACTATTTAGAGGGCAGTTTTTATAGCAAAATTTTTTTATCTTAAGAACACAATATTCTCCATGTATGTAAATAATATCATTTGCAAACATAACGAGGACCCCAAAAATTGAAAAGCATTTACTAACGACGGAGACCCACTTTTTCAAGGAATCTTCGGGTGCACCTGATTTAATTAACTTCAGATTCACATCATAAACCTCATATTCTTCCATATCAATGACGCGGGCCCACATTCCCCCTCCTTAAATCTTAATAACGCCATTGATTCGTAAATCTAGGATGTTGGAGGTAGAGTACATTTTAATATATTCTCATAAACACTCTTTAGTCCGAACCCCGCCCTAAAGGTCCCTGGATACCCTACAACAAACTTTTTTGGCATTATATACTAGTTATTTTTATCATTATTTTTAATGCTTAAACAAATTTGAGATCCTAAATTTGGATTCTAGTGTAAAATTAAAAACATAAATATATATTGTAATTATAAAATTGTAAAAAAAGTGTTAAAAAAAAGTAAATTTATTAAATTAAAAATTTTACCCTTTTTAAACATAATATTTATCAATGGGAAAAAAGAAATTATTTTCTACAATGAAAAACATAATTAGTAACATAACAAAATTTATCTAACAAACGTCAAGGATTTCTACATCTGGGAGAGAGTTATGACGCAAGAACACCATTTTAATTGAAGGGAAATAGTTATTCTATCTTTGATATGATATTTAAATAATAAAGGTTAAAAATATAAAAGACTAAAACATGAATATAAATCAGAAACCTGCAAACCCGGTTCAGAATCTGACCAGGAACTGGTAAAAAAATGTATAATTTCAAAAATCCAAGCCAGCTTAAAAATTTGAAAAAATTAAAAATCTTTGCTGTGCTGATCTAAAATAAATTTAAATTCTATAAATTAATCAGTTAGAAAATCATTATTTTCAAACTCTTTGAAACAATTTGCAAATATAGCTAAAATTATTCGAAATAACGAAATTTTATAAATTCAGGGGCCTGGCCATATCATTATCGAAAATAAAAATTCCGGTCGGGTAAAAAAAAATTAGAAAAAAATCTTAGGTCAGGATTAAAAATAATTTTTTTTTCAAATCCGGGCCTCTCTGATATAATTATGATGTGGATATTAGAGGTCTGCATTGGGCGGATTTTTAGCCCACCTGCCCACGTCCATATTTCTGGCAGGCGTGGTGAGTTTTTTATAATAGTTTTAACATTGGGAGGGTTAAATTAAATTGTAAAGTAATGGGCGAGCATGGACTGGTAAATTTTTAATGTTTTTCAGGTGAAATGAGCAAAACAGACTTCAATTTATTAGAAATAATAGTTTTATTTCATAATATTGCATATTATATATGTTTAATTAAAAATATATTAAAATAAATAAATAAATAAAGAGCCAAACCAGCCATAATAATTTTTAAGCATTAGGCGGGCGTGTGGGTTAAACAAAATTTATAAATAAAATTTTTAGAAAAAATTATAAATGGGCGAGCAGGCAGATTTAAAAAAAATTTACGAGTAGGTAGGTTTTTAGGCAAAAAGCCCACCCATTGCAGACCTCTAGTAGATATAGATTATGTCATAAATTTTGTAATTTTAAAATAATTTCCTAAGAATAATGTATAAAAAAAATGATTTATAATATATTCTTATAATAAATTAACATAAAAAATAATTATAGAACAGTGTAATATCATTAGCATTTCATATCAAAAAACAAGTAATATAATTGTCGTTTCCATTTCATTATTTATATCGGTAAAAAAAATAATTGATTTTTTAAAATATTATATATTTATAAAAAAATCGATTTTTTTTAGCAATTTTAGTTTAAAACGTTTTAAAAAATTTATTGAAATAATTTACAATTTTTTTATAAAATGAAAATGAAGGAATAGGAGCAATATTTCATTTCTACAAATAAAAGTTCTATTTATATTTTCGAAAAACCAAAATGGCTTTAAACACTTGTGGGATCATAGTGAAATACTTGCTCTTCGTTGTCAATTTCGTTCTCTTCGTAAGTTTGATGTCAATTTTCATAATTTATTTATTATGTGATGTGGCATGATTATTCATATAGTTCCACTTTATTAAATTGTGGACAAAATCTAGTTTTGACTAGAATTCTCATGGATCTTGTTCGTTTATTTCAATATCCCTCTCCTCCTCCAACAATATTATTTCCAAATATATTTTTTCCTATATATAAAATCAAATCATTTGTATTAAAAAATGGTATTTTCTTTGAATAGACCAAATTTCCCCCCCCCCTTAATTTGCTAATCAAAGGCTTTTTTTTACTTAAAAATTATAATATGTAAATAGAAGAGAAATTTATTTAAAGCAATCTCTTTTCATAACTGAGTATTAAAAATCGAGTATAACATTGCTATAGAAATTGAAGTTTGTTATTTATGCATTCTTTTATATCATCTAAGTAATTCGACCCAAATTTTTGATAATGTAGTTTAAATTTTCAAAACTGATAAAAATGTGTGTTATTTCACATCATCCTTCATATTGGATATTTGACTGGCTGGGATAAAAAAAAATTTATATTAATTTTTTATATATTTTTCATGTAAATTAATTACTCAAAAAAAATTTGGCCAAATTGTCCGAAATTTATATAAATTTCTTTCAAAATAAATTGAACATAATGAACATAAACTAATGTTCAATTTACCTATCACAATCTAAAAATATAGCCTTAAACAGTAAACTATAAAATACCAATCAAAAATAATATTATTGGAATTATATTATTTAACAACAATAATAGTCTTCAGTATATGATATAAAATGGAGAGATTCAATCTTCATAAATTCCTTATCATATGACAAATATTATGTATAAATATAATATTTTATACATTAAAAATATAGCCTAAAATATTTTGAGCAAATATATGAGAATTGTATAATTTTTCAAAAATGATTTATATTTTTAGAATCCCCAAATAAATTTGCATTTACATTTTAATTTTTATTTAAATATATAAAATTTTGGTTATTAGCGTTATTAAATTGTAAAAATGTAAATTTTATTAAACCTTTTTTTTAAAATGAGAATTATTGTATGATTTATGAATCTTAAAAATATATTGATATAAGGCTGGAGGATTAACAATTTTGACACTGGCGATCATAGCCATAACCACGAATATGAATATGAAGGCGATCCTAGGTTCCAATCTGTATTCCAGTTCTGCTTACATATTAATAGCTGCCAGTTTGCTAATAATCATTATTTCTTACCTAGGATGTTTTGGAACTTACAAAGAGTTAAGAAGTATGCTAATCATAGTAAGTTAATTTTTTTTTTTTAGTAAATGTTAATTGCAACCTTATAAGAATGATACCTTCCCTACCCCCCTCATTCTTCTTGATTTCATAAATCTTACTTATTCCATTTGTTTTTTAAAATCCTCTAATAGAGTTTAACTTAAAAAGGACATTAAATTATGCTAAATTTTAAAGAAAAGTTTCATCATTATTTTATATCGTGTGCATTGCAAAATAATTCAATGTAATGAATCAAGATCCAATATTTTATCCTTATCCTTAAAAATCCTTCGATTTTATTGAAACTTTATTTTATAATTCTAAATTATTCACAATTATTTGCGAACGTTAAACAATTATAAAGTTGAGAGAGACGATTTAAAAGAAGTATAATGAGTTTTTCAAGTGGAATTTAGATAGAAAGAAGAGTTAATAAGATAATTATTATATATTCAATTGTGATCTTTTTAATGAATATATTTAGTATACGATTATTCTTTTCGTACTATTTCTTGTCATGCTGATTGGTGCTATAGTTGGATACGCTTTTAACTCCAAGGTAATCATATTTAAAAAAAAAAAAATTGTAATGCTAGAATAATATTTTAAAATATTTGAAACCTTTGAATTTATTTAAAATAAAAGAGTTTTAAAACAATCGATTTAAAGGAACTGATAATAAAAGGGATATTTTAACCAAATATTATTCAGAGATTGTAATTCTAATAATTTAGTTGAATCATTTTTGAAATTTTAGATTCACCTTTATATAAATAATATCAAAAATCATTTTTTAATACAAAATTAGTTTCAAGATGCTACAAGAAATAAAATGATTGATGTTGCCCAGAATAACTATGGGGTTAATCAATTCTGGACAACAGTTTGGGATTCTTTACAACAAGAGGTATGTACATACTTATTAATCCATTTAAACATTCAAACATTTTATTATTTTTGGCTTTAGATTTATTCCAAATTATTTATTTCTCTAAAAATAAAATTTCGCACAAAAGTTTCATAATAAGTTAATCATTCCTCCATAATCCTACCTAGCGCTTCAGTGTGATAGAGGAGTGAGATTGTTTCCCAGTGGCTAATAATTATAAAAAATCGTAGAAAATATATGAAGATTTATAATTGTTTATAACAAAATAAAAGAGATCCAAGTAAAAATGATAATAGACGACCATAATGTATTGTAATGAAATAGAATAGAAAAAAGATTTGATGATAAAAGTTAGGAGTGCTTCCAAAATCTTGCCATGCGCTGTGTGGATGAATTATGAGAATTTCCGACGGCTAATGATAGTTTAAAAAATCACTCTGTTTTGGAATTATAGAAATCGTAGAAAATGTTGAAAGATTTATATTGATTACAATAACAATAGAATGAAAGAACCCCGAGTCAAAATGATAGGGGATGGCTATATATTGCAATAAAATTGATAATGTTTTGATGCCGAAAGTTGGGAGTGCTTGCATCCTAATATAGGAAACTTCGAATGCGAGAAAAATTTAGCAAAAATGAATAATTACTGATATCTAAATCGATATCCAGAAAGCCTTATCAATCTCAGCCATAACGATTTCATTCAACCTCCTACGACCTGGTCATTACTTTACAGCCTTCACCTACAACCACCCTTATTCCTATTTCATGCTATAGAGTAATATCTCACTGCTCACAAGCCTCGCATATCCAACTGTGCACGTCCTTAAATAGCAAGATCTAATTGCAAGTCTCATATTTTTGCTAACATCTTATGCGTCAGTCACTGGCATTTACTCAACAGATATAAGAAGAATTCATATACAACTTAAAAATTATATCTGCCATAAGCCTTGCCATATCCAATGATAATCTGACACCTTGTAAGCCCTAATTAAGAAATCACAATCGAATAACATCAATACCAATAATCCCGTTTATTCTGAACCTCAGATCTCTACTACCAACTTGACCACAGCAGATATTAAGAAAATAATTCAGGCGTGATTCTTAACTTAGAATTGACGGAATCAATTCTACATTCCTTCAGGATATGACTACCCCTGCTATAACTCAACCATAGGCATAGCTAGGATTTTGATAGGGGAGGGGTCTCTTAGGTGGGGTTTTCCACATAAATTATATTGGAAATCTTTAGGTCCACTTATTGTACGCCTTTAGCTATTTATAAATATACTTTTTGGTTATCATATTTTTAATTTTAAAAAAGCTTTTTTATATAAATTTTGAATTATACTCGTTATTTTTAAAAAAGTCATCATATTTTACTAATTTTTCTTTCTAATTCTACCTTATAATAATATATTGAGAGAGGGGGGGGGGGGGGTTAAGTAGTGTTTAGGGGGGACTTATTAGTTTGAAATGATATTTAATATTATAGATCTTCATAAACCTTAGCGCCACCTACTTGCAAAATTAGTAATGAGTCATTACTATATTATGACTATAAACCCCAACAAATTAGGAATTAACGAAGTCGGATGCGAAACTTCCCATCACAAGGCCTGGATTCACTTAGGTACTAATACTACGGATGACATCCTTGTCAAAATAGACTTCACTAATGCATTCAATGGTCTAAGACGGTGGATTCCTGAAGTCCCATTCTTATTATCCAGAATTTTCCTAGTCCATGCAGGACTGCTGCTCCAGGCCATCACGCCTAATACTTGAGATAAATTAATTCCATCATTCCTTTAGACAAAATGATTCAAGGCATCATCACCAATGCAGGCTCAATTTAAACTCATGGTATATAAATGATGGAATAATAGGCGGATCGCTCAACTAAGTCAACTAGGCAGTAGATATAATAAAATTCTATAAAAGCATGAGTCTAAAATAAATTCTCTTAAGTGTGAACTGTCCTCTAAACAATAATGTTCGAAATAATTTTAGGTTTAGCCGCGTTGAGAGAAAACATATCTAGAATTACCCTTGGGCAATTAAGAACCCTTCCCCAGATTTTTCGCAAACATTTTAAAGGATTTTACACAATGCACGAGATCCTAATGCACTTCCAGGCTCACTAAGTCTTTTTTTCTATTAAAGAATTGCAAAAAATCATGCCATATGATCGACACATATTTTTCATTATCCTGCCATTTTAGCTACCCACTAGCATGATTGACAGAACGCGTTATCAATCTTTAATTTGGGAAATTATTTTAGCTTCAATCTTCCATGCCCACCAAAGCAGATGGAATTGGTATACCCTCACCTTTACCAATCCTTGTCAGCGCCTTTATGTCTTCGCGCTTATAATGTGACATCAGCAAGTTAATACACATGGATACTTTACTCTATCGGGTCATCGTTGAAAATTCTCTTCCTAGTCGACCCTCCTTCAACTTCATCACAAGAGACTGGGATTTACCGATGATTGGCAACTCCGTCACATTTTTTAAATTGAAAAGCCACCTCGTGGAACAATTATTTCACTTTCCAACTTCCTTTCTTTTCAATTAATCTTGACTTCAGTGACGAAGTGTCAAGTTTACTACTAGGGAAGCAATCGAAAATTTTATTTATTTTTATTTATTAGTCAAACCATATAAAAATCAAAATATAAAAATATGTAGAATTCGTCTTTGTTTTTGAGTAAAATGATCAAGTACTGAATTGCTATTGGTAGATTTTAAATTTTTTAATTTTCAATCGAAATCAAAAATAGATTTAAAATTAAGAAATAATTTTTTTTTACATTAAACTTATATTTATTCATTAAAATTAGCGGGATATCTATAAAATTATTTTACAAAATTCTAAATAAATTTATTTGCTTAAAATAGTTTTGTGCAACAATGGTATTGTTTATAATTAATGGGCGTCATGGCTAAACAAGGATTTATAAATTCCTTTGCATGATAAAAAGATCCGTCACAATCTTGAACTGATATCTATAGATATAAATAGGAAAAAAATAATATTTATATTTATATATATATATATATATTTTAGTCTTAGTATTTATATAATATATATTTAAATTATGTGCTAATACATATGAGTTAAAATTTGCACTTAAATATTTTTATTTTTTAGATAAAAAAGCGTTAAAAAAAGTATATCAAAATTTATCTTAAAAAGTATCCAAACAGATACAGATACCTCTGAATTAGTTTATAGATATAAATACAGTTACTTTTTATACAAGTCTGATAATCTTAATAAATTTTCAATAATATAATTACAAAACATTAATTATTGCTTTTAAAAAAGAAAATTTTATTTATAATAAGTAAGGAAAAAAATATAATATAAAAAAAAATTTCTCTTTTTTTTATTAAAAATATAAGCATTTTTTTATTTGCTTCCCCAATGCTATTTTTTAAACGTATACATTCGCATTCGCATGATTTTCTCTTTATTTATTTTAAAAAAAGCAATATTAAATTTGTTTCCCTCTTGTATTTTTTTTAACGAGTAAATATAATAGTAAATTTTTTATCGTAATAAAAATAATATTTTTTTAACGTTATAAAAATATTAATTTTTTTACGAAGTCAAATTAGTTTTTTTATACATATTATAAAGATTATATTAAGTTTATTTAAAAATTTTGTAGAAAAATTTCAAGGGAAGCAATGTTTCTCTTGCTTCTATGGAAGCTTCGTTACTGCTTGCCTTTACAAATGATAAACTTTGTCATGCCATGGGACTTAACTGAAATATCATACTATGCTGTGCATTCTGTACTCCTGTTGACTCAAAAGGTCGTCCCTCCGTGCATTATAAATTATGTACAGGCAAGATATCAAATGCAATGACCACTGTACTTTAAAATCTGCTTGTATTCCTTTCACCCTTGAATCCAGCGTCCACATAAACGGGGGGGGGGGGTGTAGGAATAGTTTGCTTCTAATTTATTTGAGGGGCTAGGAGGCAGGCTTTTTAGGGGGTCGGCTAGAGATAGGATAAATTTATTAAGGGATTATCTATTAAATTTATGAAATAGGGCAAATGTATTTTTTTATAGACCGATTATAATACAGAGATACTGCTAAACATCAATCAATTTAATATAAACATTAATTTCCAAAAAAAACTTTCTGTACATTTAAAAGGTTTAGACATTCTTAGCAATCATATTCATGCCAAACAATATCTATAATAATGCATTGTAAATGAGGGAGTTTTTAATTGAATTCATGTTCTAAAAGATAACTCTTTTATAATCATAATATTTTGATAGTTGATAGTAGGGCATTAATAATTTAGGTTATTCCTAATAAAATATATGAAAGGAGTGACATTATAATTAAAAAGTGTAATTAATAATGTGGGAATATCGCCACCAAGGTAGCGATTTTTTTTTAGGAGGATAGGTATAAGTTTAGAGAAAGGGGGCTTGCATCCAGTGAAGATCCTGTAATGTAGACGTGGTTTGAATCGACTAGATTGCAACACCAATGCTAAACGTCTTGATGGCTCATGCAATATCCCATGGTAGTAAATTTTTAACTTGGGGCTTTTCTTGTATAGATCTAATCGCATCTTCCAACCTAAGTTGTCAGAACGGAAAAAATCTGCCAAATATTCTTCTGAGTTTCCTTCCAACCATTTATTCATACTAATCAGAGCTATAACGCTAAATTTTTTTGGTCACACCCTAGCCTTCTTCAAAGATCTAAGAAATCGTGTTACATCCTAAACCGCCAATTCAAACGAAGGTTTTTACATTAGATAAAGAATCGCAATTAAAATAAGAGCTTAGATTCTCCATGATGACATAATTTTAATTAATGGATAGATTTCGATAACCTATTTTATATCACACTTTAAAATATCCAACAACAACCATTATCTCATTATTCCATGGTTCTAGGTTTTCTCTATCCTCGATAAAACGAGCTTACAAAATGATTTCTCGTATCCCACCCCGCTCGATAAACTGATTATTTCGAGACAAAATATAATTAATTTTACAATGTTATTTGAATAATTAGCTTTTTGATATGTCTATTTTGATGTACATATGTATTTTACTTGTTCAATACATAATATTAGATTGTCTTTTGATTGAAATATTTTAAATTTATTAATTCGTTAAAATCGGTAGATGTGAATAAGATAACCGTGATGTCTTCTTTTTTTGAATCGATTGTCATCTAAATGAATGGCAGTTTTGTAAAAAATCTATAAAAAAAATTAATGAAGATGAAGAACACTGTGATGAACATTGAGAAATTTTTTTTAGCCTTATGGTTTTGTATTTTAATAAGAATATAAATATCCTACATATTCTCTAAATAAATTAGTATCGCAAATACAATTTTAAATTCAAAAAATAAAATATAAAATTAATTATAAAAAATTTAATTATTTAAGTGATATTTTTAAAAAAATTTTACTATATATTATTAACTAAAATATTATTATATAGAAAAATTATATTTAAAAAAAAAATTATTATAAAATCCATAAATAATTACATTTTAAAAAAACTAGCTATATAAAAAATAAAAAAATAAATAAGAATATTTTGGTAGGTGATTTGCATTAAAACTAATGTAATCGTTGTTTAGTATTGCTATGGCGGGTCTTTGACGGAAGAAAAACCTTCTCGGGTTCTACGAAGAGTTTATAGATTTAGGAGCCTAGATTTTTGAAGAATGAATACCAAGAATGGTAGATGCGATTGATGTGAAAATATTATAATTACAAATTTCTTAATATTTAGAGATTTTATTATTTTTTTGTCCATGATGTTGAAAGCTTGGTTAAAGGGGGCGGGGGTAGTAGATCTATACAAGAATAGTCGCATAGAAGTAATTTTTCCCTCCTCCTTTGTATTTAAGTATTTTCATAGGGGCTTTACCTTCTGATTTCAAAAGGCTAAATGTTTCCAGTATAGAAGGTGTTTGAGCTATTCGATACTAGTAGAACTAAAGAATATATTTGAACACTATATATATGCATAGAAATTAATAGCGATATATTACAGATATGTCAATATATATTTAGATAGAGTATATCGATATTTTACTAACTCTGTAAAATATATTTAGTCAAAAGCATCACTAGACTATATGCAAAGAATGTTCAAAATTTAAATTCTTTGGAATCATTATATTTTTAATAATTTTTGCTTTATTTGCTTTAAAGCTTGTATTTTTGAAAAGTTTTCTGGGGGCCCTCTACTACGCTAGTTGCTAATTTTTATTTTACGGTTAGATGAATATTAATTTTCAAATAGTATTTATAATTTTTAATCTACTGCAAAATCAGTTAAAATGCTGTGGAATAGATGGCAAGACAATTCCATCTGGTTATGGTATCTGGCAGAATTCTATGTGGTACAGAAGCAAAAGTCAAGCGGAGAAGATCAACCGAATTCCATTATCATGCTGCAACGCAAACGCTGGTATTGAACAAAAGACGCTTTGTCAAAATCTTGAAGCTATCGGGATGGATTATTTTTATACAGATGTAACTTTTACTTTTTAAAAATTTATTTTAGTATTTAACTTAGAGATCTGCAAAAGTAGGCCCGACCCGTACCCGGCTTGAAAGGGCTTCGGGCCGGGCCTAATATTTTTTAAGAAAATTTGGGCCGGGCGTGTCGGGTCTTAAATTTTTTTTAAAATATATATAAATTTATCAATTTTATGTTGAATTTTTTATGTAAAATTAAAATAAGTGATTTTATTTATAGAAAGTAGACGCCATATAACATATATCGTTTATTTTTTATAATCGGGCCGGGCAAAACTCCATAAAAAAAATTTGGGCCGGGCCGGGCTTGAAAAATTAGGCCCGATGCAGATCACTAATTTAACTAAATAATTTTAGATTAAATAAGGACAATCGAATTTGTAAGTCTTTTTGATCATAACGTTTTTGGGGGAAGGAAATTGAAGGCAGAAATTTTGATTGAGATATATGTCGTAATTAAGAAAAAAGTGTATAATTAGTGAATGATGTAAAAATATAAAGCAAAAATGGATCCAATATTTGATAATAGATATTAAGGTAATTAAAATTAAAAGAAAATTTTATAGATATAATAATTAGAGATCTGCAAAGTTAGGCCCGGCCCGTACCCGGTCCGAACGGGTTTCGGGCCGGACTAGGGCCGAATTCTATTTAAAATAATCGGGTTCGGGCCGGGCCTTATATTTTTAAAAAAATTTCGGGCCGGGTCGGGTCGGACTTTGGAAATTTTATTAAATATATCTAAATTTATTAATTTTATATTGAATTTTTTATGTAAATAAAAATTTTTGATTTAATTTATTGAAACTAAACGCTATATAACATATGTCTTTTATTTTAAGTAATTATAAAAATTAATTTCTATATATAAATAAATTCAAGCCTGGCCGGGCCGGTAAATTTTTTTAAAATAAATTTTGGGTTCGGGCCGGCAAAACTTTTTAAAAAAATTTCGGGTTCGGGCCGGGCCGGGCGAAAAATTAGGCCCGATGCAGATCACTAATAATAATATTGTTCAATGAGACGTTATAAAAAAAACAAGAATCTCATGCTAAATGGCCACTAACAATGGCAAAAATAATTAGAAATCCAACTATTTTACTTATGTATGAGTCTTAGACATCCATTTTATTATTAATAATTGCCTGAAATATGATCTATGTTACTTCTTACGTTATTATAAAATCTTAGTATATTATGTTCTGATGTATTCCTTATTATATAAATTAGAACAATTTTTAATTTCATAAAATACTTTTATTTATGATAGGGTTGTTATCCAAAGGTAATGCTACTTTTCCAATCCAAGACATTAATCTTTTCAGGAGTCGCGATCGGCGTTAGTATTCTTATAGTAACAAATTATTATATATAAAAATTCAATATTTAAAAAATTAACTTCAGATATATTTATTAGTAATCAAATCGATTTTTATAAACGGTAAATAAATTTAACATTTTTAAAGTGTACATTTTTCAGAGACCTGCAGTTACCAGAACGGGTAGTAAAATGGTATCAATTAAAAAATACAAACGCCGGACCGGGCCTCAATATTATTTTTCCAAAAACCCAAATCGGGCCAATTTAAAAAAAAATAATTGAAATTTATTAATTAAAATTAAATGGTTGAAAAATCATATAATAGATCGTTTAAACAGTTTACTGCTCATATTTTCGACTTTTCTCATCAATATGGCGAATATTATTTAAAATCGGGCCGGGTGTGATAAATGAAAACTTTTAAATTAGGGGCGGGGTTAAAATTTCGACCTTTGCAGGTCTTTAAAATTTATAAAAAAATTATATTAATAATTTTTATTTTAAAGCTGATGTCTATGGTCTTTTCATTAATAATAATTCAACAAACGAACAGATGAAGAAAAGAACATTCTTACTTGAGAAAGAAATAGATAATATATTACATTTCGATAGAATCAATGTTCTTATTAAATTAATAGCATATAATAAGCGCACATTTTTAACTCAATAAGACTTGTTTCAAATAAGATGTTTTTTTTTAAAAAAGGTGAAAAAAAACCTTAAAAGATCAAGCCTCCCAAATATAACTATATTTAAAAAAAAAATCTTACTAAGACGTAACCAAAATTAGCGTCATATATTTTTATAGCATTAAATTTGTTTAAGGTTATAAAAATTATAATTTAGAACTGATGTTTTCTTTAATGGTCTCTCGAAATGAAAAAAAAGTCATGTTTGGAATTTACCTAAAATTTAACTAAATGATGTCACTTAAGTGAGAAAAAAAATATTTAAAAAAACAGAGATTAAAATTTATGTAATTTTTTCTTCGTTCTTGAGATTATAATTTAACTCGATGTTTATTTTGTAAGATGATATTCATTTATTAATTGTATCCGAGCCCTTTATTATTTAATTTTAAATAGTTATTCAAAAATTTATATAAAATCACGCATGTTTTTTCATGCTTTTAATATTATATACATAAATATAAAAATTAACATTCATTGATGATTATAATTATATCTCAAATATATATATTACAAAATAATAATTGATATGTAATTTAGCTTCATGCACATTTATTATATTTTAAATCAATGAAAAAAAATTAATTTTTTGATTAAAATATCCCTTTTTTAGAAAAATGTTTTATTTATATCTAAATTATTATATTGCCCATTTTTATTTAATCATTTTGATATGGCAGCAACTTCAAAACAGAAAGAAATCGTTAAAAATATAGCTCACGTTTATATTTAGGTGACATTAATTGTGTTGCAGAACTAGTTTACAGATACATTCTTCCAAAGCTAGAGTAGTGTCGCCTTCTATAGAGGGGGGGGGTATTTATTAGATTCGCAAGAGGGTTGGGTTTCATAACAGAATAGCATCATAAAAATTTATATAACCTTTCCCGCATCCGTAATTTTAAAAAAAAATATTTTGCATTTTTTATATAATTTTTTTAAAAAAATTGCATTGAAGAAAATAATAAAATTTAATGAAAATTACAAAATTATATTTCTCGTTGTTGTATTAATTATACAAAAAAATAATAAGCGGTTCTGAAAAATTAATTCCGAGCTTATTATATTCATAATTCTAAGTAATAGCTGAGTTTTCAAGGTATATATTTTTATATAACCTTTTTCGATTTCAACGACTCTTTAGAATTATGAAAAGTTGGTTAGGATTTCGTATTCCATAGAATTTCAAGATTGTTCCCGGATATTTCTAAATTTACTTAATTACCAAAACCCTTACTCTCAAATAACCAAAAATCTTAATGAACGAAAAAAGTTGCATGACAACATTGTAAACTCTGACTAGTTCGGGTTAACAGTATCAACATCTGATCTGTATCCTTATAACTCTGACCATGAATGATTTAGTAACAAAATCTTGTAAGAACTGCTTTTTAAAGAGATTGACTTGTTTAACTTTGCCTTTTGATAGAACTTAAAATAAAGCTCCCCCCTTTAATCAGTCTAATTAATCATATTGTATCTACGATGTTCGACTAGCTGTCAGAATCGTTAAAGATCTTCCGTCCTTTCCTCAATAAGAGAAGCTATTTATAACAATGGCAGGAATGGTATAGAAAGTACCAAAAAATTAATGTGTATTCCTAATTTATTACTTAAATGAAAGGGATATAGTTTAGTGATAGAATTCAAAACAACTCCCGAAAATATATAAAATAGGATTTATTTTTAAGAAATTTTGGCAAATATATTAATTATAAGCCATGGATACTCGTCCCTAATATTTAAAAAAGGAAAAATTACTTGTTTTATCGATTTAAAAAAATCTAAATCACAAAATAAGTAAAAAATTAGCCTGTACCTTAAAAATAAAATATAGGAAACTTAGTTCTATAAAAATGATATAATATTTAAAAAATAATGAATATAAAATGGCTGCCAAAATATATTAGGGGTATGACCAGGGTTGCCAGATTCATTCAAACAAAAAGCGGGAGAATATAACCATATTTTAGAAAAAATTATAATAAATAATATATTTTTTTCTGATATTTCTTATTTAAATGAATATATCTAACTAGTTAATAACCCGCCAAGAATGACGGGGTTGAGGGGTAATTAGTTTGTTATGGTACTATATATAGTTTATTAATATATTTCATAAAAATTTTAGAATTTAGGCGAAAAAGAGCTAAATTTGTGAATCACACCTCATAATATATTCTTAATTTCTGATTCATCTATCATCGAATAAGGGAGAAGTATGATGACCCGTCTTTCTTGAAGGGTAAAATGAAAAATACATAACTGTATCAGAGCTCACGTTAGTAGCATTGCTGAGCCCGTCAAAAATGACGGGGAATGAGAATTTTCTCCTTACTCTCATGATAGTGGTTACCGGTTATAAATCCAATTTTTATTCTTTATAACCCCCCCCCCCACCTTCAGGCCAGGTCCAATCCATTAAAACTAAGTTTAAATGCTATGTTTTGAGTCAAAATATATTTAGAGCTTTTACTTGATACCCTATCCCCATATCAATATTATTTGTTAAAATATTACTGATCATTATGTCTAATATTTAATATTGAAAAAATTCCCAAGCAAGGTCCAAGGCCATAATAATTTTGAAAAAATATCCCCAACCCCAATTAAAGATCTTAATAATTTTGGTAGTTAAGAACTGGAATAAAATATTTTAAAAATATCATAATGAATTTAAAAATACAATCAAAATCTAATTTTATGCGCCTTGATTTATTCGTTTTAGGTCAATGTATGATCAGGGTTCCCATGTCTCCCCCCATCAGTGGGAGTCTCCCACAATTTTTTAGTTTACCCACATACATCTCACTCCCACAAAACTCCCACAATTAGAAATCTCCCACAAAAAGCTCCCTCAATTTTTTAATTTCTCCCACAATTTTTTTTTAGCATTTTATTGTTTTTAATATATAAATAATAATTTTGAGAGACAGTATTTGATTATTTTTATATTTTTAAAATAAATTTTAAATATTTATTCGAAAAATATGTCTAGTTCTTTTATTTTATTTTTCCGCTCTAAAATAAATTTTTTATAAAATTCTCCAATTCTCCACTCGACATTTTCAAAATTTTTGTGTTAGAAAGAATAGAAGTTAGAACAGTATGTATAATTATTATAAATATATTTTAAATTACTTAATATATTTTATATCGTTATCTAGAATTGCAGTGCTCCACTCGACATTTTCAAAATTTCTGTGTTAGAAGAATAGAACTTTTAGAAGTGGATATTATATCCCATATACCAAACAGATTTAAGTAATAAAATGTTCTATTTTGCTAAAAAAAAAATTTCGAGTATGAAATGTCAGAAGCATATTTGGGATTAGTTTCACATGTAGGAAATCTACTTCATGTAGTTAATATTCAGTTGCAATCAGAAGATTCTTTATTGATAAAGATTCATAAAATCATGCTACAGCTCTGTTCATCTCTACAGTTAAATATAGATAATAAATTTTATGGCGCTATTGCTAAAAATATATTAAAATGTCCAAATATTACTATAATTAACGTATTTTTAAATGAAGCAAATATTTTTATTAAGACAATTTTGGAATATTTACAATCAAGATTTGATTTTAATAACTCTATTTACAAGTGTATAAATATTATGACCTTGGAACAGAAACCATCATTTGATGGTTTTTGTAATTTAATAAATATATTAAAATTACCGATAGACATTGAAGCCTTGTTTGAAGAGATTGTAATTTTTTCCATTTTTTATGATTCGCCAGAATACTTAAAGTTAGATGGTCTAAAAGCAGAGGAGAAATGGGTGGAATTTTTTCGTAAAAACGATAAATCCCCATGCTTGGAAAAAATTTGCGAGTATGTTTTCTCCTTACCTCATTCTAATGCCTCATCGGAGCGCATTTTTAGCCTGATGAGGATTGCCTGGAGAAAGGAGAGAAATCGAATTGCTTTAACAACATTAGAGGCCGAGTTAATGGTTAAACAAAATTATAAAATGTCATGCCAGGAATTTTATAAATATCTTAATAACGACGGTAAACGTTTAGTTCCATTATTTAAATCTCAAATAAAATATAATTAACTATAACTATTTGACTTTCTATATTTTATAAAATCTTATTTATACATTTGCACAAAATCAAATAAATTTATTTTTTACATTGTAAAATTAATATTTTGAATATATCATAAAAATATAGAAGCATTACAATCTCCTCAAACATGACATCATATTAAATCTTATTAATAATTATCCGATAATAGTAATAATATTCTTACTTTGGTATTTCCGCAGCATAATTTAGTGAACCTTTATTAAATTATATTCTTCTGATTGCAACTACATATTAACAGCATATAGTAGATTTCCTGTATGTAAAATTCCTAAATATACTTCTGCCATTTATTTTTGAAAATTTTCTTCAAAATATTAGGACAGCTTTTATAATCTATTTATTTTTTAAAGGTTTGTAAAATTTTAAAATTCTACGATGGCGCATATTAGGAGGAACCTGTCAACCAACATTATGCTGACTCAATTCTGTAAATACACTCTGGTTATCAGATCAGAAAGCTGCCATGCAATTCATTGGTAATGCCAAATCTGCCATATTTACCATTATATATGGTTAGCTATGTCTTTGGATATTTCATAACTGGAGAAAAATTTTTTAATAGTTTTATTGAAATGACATTAATTTTGTTGAAATATGGGAGGATCAAGGGAAATGTTTTGATATCTCCTTATTAGATGCATCTGTTAGAATTGCATATGTTTGCACATCTTTCAAATCGTCAAGAATTGACCTTCTGGATTTATATCCTAAAACATTGATGATAGCATTGCTCATTTGTGTTCTACAAAGTATACTTTTCATTTATATTAGTCGTTAAATATTATGGGGAAAGATTCTACCAACATTGTGATGTTAAGTAGCTCTCTTAATGTTGTACTGCATGTTAGGTATTTACCATTTCCGCAACTGTAGTTGCATCTGTATTATTTCTTATTTTTGAAGAATATTTTTGTTTTGCAATAGAAGTTGATAGACTGCCCTGTACTGATTTATGCTTTGAAGATTTTTGATGCCTCAAAATATCATATTCCCTTCCCCCATTGTATTAAATAAATACTGCAGAACAACTTCCCCGCACTGATTATAATTATTTTTTACATTGTAAATTTAAAATTGTTTGTTTTTTTTATAAAATCTTATTTATACATTAGCATAAAATATATTTTTTTACATTGTAAAATTACAATTTTTTTATAAAATTTTATCTTGTTTACATTCTTTTGTATTTAAAAAAGATCGTTTTTTATTATTTTTAAACAAATTAATATATTATAATAAATCAATATGTTATTTTAATAATAAAGATAGATTTAAGAAATTTTGTGTCGTACTATAATTACCTATTTTGAAAAATAATTGCGTATTTTATTTTGGAAAATAGTTACCTATTTTATTTTGGAAAATAGTTACCTATTTTGGAAAATAGTTACCTATTTTGGAAAATAGTTACCTATTTTATTTTGGAAAATAGTTACCTATTTTATTTTGAAAAAGAGTTGGATATTTTATTTTGAAAAATAGTTGGCTATTTTATTTTGAAAAATAGTTGGCTATTTTATTTTGAAAAATAGTTGGCTATTTTATTTTGAAAAATAGTTGGCTATTTTATTTTGAAAAATAGTTGGCTATTTTATTTTGAAAAATAGTTGGCTATTTTATTTTGAAAAATAGTTGGCTATTTTATTTTGAAAAATAATTACCTATTTTATTTTGAAAAATAGATTCGATTTTATATTTATAAAAAATAATAAGCGGGCAAAAAAATTTTTTTTAGCAATTTTCATATTTCTCCCACAATTTTTATATTACTCCCACAAAATACCGAATTTCTCCCACAATTTGAAAATTTTGACCTGGCAACCCTGTGTATGATCCTTAATTAATAATGAAAAAATTCGTAAGCGTCCAAGCTGATAATAATTTGAAAAATTTTCCCCAAGCGTAGCGTAATATAATTTATAAAAATATTTTTCAAGCCCAGCCTGACCCATTATAATTTTTAAAAAAAATTTTCAAATCTGGCCAACCAATAATAATTTTAAAATTTTTTTCAGCTTCCAATAAAAAAAATATTATAAAAATTTTTTCCAAGCCCAGCCCGACCCATTATAATTTTAAAAATTTTTTCTCAAACCTGGCCAACCGATAATAATTTTAAAATTTTTTTCAGCTTCCAATAAAAAAAATATTATAAAATATTTCCAAGCCCAGTCCGACCCATTATAATTTTAAAAATTTTTTCTCAAATCTGGCCAACAGATAATAATTTTGAAATTGTTTTCCCAAGCCTGGAGTTTCCAATAAAAAAAATAAATATTGATATATTAAAATACTTTATCATAATAAAGTTTCATATAAAAAAGAATTGTATTACAAAAGTAATATAGAAAGGGGCTGACTGGAAAGAACGTTTGCCTATCGAACGTTAAGTCAGTGATTCGAATCTCGTTGATGTATAAAAAAAATTTTAAAAAACATTTTCTATTAAAAAAAAATAATTTAACATTAGAGGTATATACTCTCCTTCGATTTATAAGATGATAGGAAAGTTAATAGAAAAAATCAACATTAAGATTATACGAAAACGTTCATTTTTTGATTACGGCGATAATATATATTAGATATTACAGAAAAATAAATGAAAATCGTATATTATTTTTTTAATATTAAATTAATCGATATTATTTAAAAAATCAGTACATATTTTTCAGAAGATTTTGCTATTAATTAAATTTTTATTATTTGTTACATATAAAATCTTTACAAGGATAACTAAAATTATGTTTGATAATTAGTTCCGCTTCTAAAGCTGATAAAGATAAACGATTACAATCTTTTCACTAAAAATTTTCCATTATACTAAATATGTGCTCTGAACCAGCGTTTGAATGTGGTTACGATAATATAATATTGCATATTTTTTTTTAAATTTGGCGAAATATTTTTTAAAAAAAATATAATACCCCATTTTTATAAGCCAAATTCAATATTTATTTTGTTCTATAAATATATTTAAAGCAACGAATTACTTAGATAATTCATCGAATTCGATATCTTTTATATTAAAATTGATTATTATTGATTCAACTTCCTCGAATTTGAATTCATTATCGAGCTTCATAATACTTAGATTTTCCCATTTATTGTTTGTAAATTTATATTTTTTTCCTAAATATGAAATTGGTTTAATGAATTTATTAGCTTCATTTTGGAGTTTTAAAGTTATTGATAACTTGGGATTTTAAAGTTGTAACTAATTTATTCATTACTGAAAACGTCTTAATTGAATATGAATTTTCGGATTACAATTTTTTAACCACGTTATAAATAACTAAGCTTAAATATGCCCAGCCAATAAAAAAAATAATTTAAATATTGAATTGGAATTTTTTTGGTATAAAAAATAAGATTTTACAGCTAAATAATTTAAATTAAGTTTTTCGAGAGCAGATATCAATGATAGCCATCTTGTTGAAATAATTCGTAGAAGTTCCAATATTGAGAATACATAATTTTTTTTTAACAGATTTCCTTTTGTGGATCTGCGGAATTCGGCATACATTTCATAGCAATTATTTTTATATCTATTGATAATGAAGCATGCCCCTTTCTTCCTGCATTGCGAATTGTATGGCACAGGCAACCAATAAAGAATAAATATGTCTATACACTTAGCCCTTTTCCGAAATTATCATTTCCATTGTCGGAATAAAATGGCAGTTACATTTGATAGTGAAAGGTTGCAATTTTCAAAGCTCTGCACAGCCATAGATGCAAAATCCTTCGATTTTACGAGTCCGATAAAAAAAATTTGGAAGTTTACTACCTCTTTCTTTATCAAAATAGCGCAGCATTGTTGGGAATGTTTTAGTATTTTCATTATTTGAAGCATCAGTTAATAGATAAAATGGATGACTTTCCTAAATCCTCTAAGATGTGTTTCTTAGTTTAAGAACTCAGGATATTTAACACTATTTTTGAGGCTTTTGTTCTTCTACATTTCATGCCTTTGGCTATTTTGAATCAAGAAAGAGGATAGGCATTAAGTTTTAGTGCAACCTGTATACAAATAACTAAATGAATGTTTTATCAACATAAATGATTGTTTTTGAAGTATGGCATCATATATTATGATATATATATATATATGTGATCTCTAATTCATTTAGTTATTTGTATACAGGTTGCACTAAAACTTAATGCCTATCCTCTTTCTTGATTCAAAATAGCCAAAGGCATGAAATGTAGAAGAACAAAAGCCTCAAAAATAGTGTTAAATATCCTGAGTTCTTAAACTAAGAAACACATCTTAGAGGATTTAGGAAAGTCATCCATTTTATCTATTAACTGATGCTTCAAATAATGAAAATACGTGAAAATGGAGAGCATTCATTCATTATTTTATAATCATGCGAGATTTTGTTGGATAATTTTTAATGATATTATGATGATTTGAATTTGAATATTGTTTTTTTTTAATTTTACAAAATTTCATTTTTAATTCATAATTTGGAATTCTACAATAAAGAATCAATAAAGTTATATACACCAATAAAGGTATATATTTATATTTAATTATAATTTGGTATATATATATATATATATTTAATTATAATTTGGTATATATATATATATATATATATACATATATTTTAATGGTGCCGGTGACCAAAATCATTAAAATAACGAACTTGAATTACAATAAAGAAGGGAATCAAACACCAACAGGTTCAGACACTGGGATGTGCGGCACAACAACAGAAGAAGTAATGATTGATGGAAGTGGTAAGAGTAAAGAAAGAAATATGGAGGCATAATAAGTCAAATGATGATTTGTATAAATTAGTATGAATGAAATTTAACAATTAATTTGGATGAATATATCTTTAAAAAAAACGCTAATTTTATAAATGTATAGTTTATATATAATATAGGATGGTGATATTTTATAGGAAAATATCATTAGTAAAATTATATGATGTATTGGAAAATTAGAGGAGATTAAACCATGAAAAGAATAAGAGTAAATAATGATACAAGGAGAAGGGATATTATGAAAATATAAGGTTAAATAATTAATTTGAAACTATATTTAAGTTGAATTAAAATATTTAGAGTCTATTGATAAAATTTGATAATATATATTAGATAAAATAAGGATTTTTTATTTTAAATAAATGATATTATGAATAGATAAGATTAAATCATTAATTAGAAACTATATGAAAGAGGAATAGAATATTTGAAGTCAATTGATATAAATTTGATATTAGATAAAATAAGGACATTTGAATATTTGAAGTCAATTGATATAAATTTGATAATATATATTAGATAAAATAAGGACATTTGAAATAAAGATCTGCAAAGTTAGGCCTGGCCCGGATCAAATGGGCTTAGGGCCGGGCTTGGACCTAATTTTATTTAAAATAAGCGGGTTCAAGTTGGGCCTAATATTTTAAAAAATTTGGGTCGGATCTTGGAATTTTTTTTAAATATATCTAAATTTATCAATTTTATATTGAATTTTTTATTTAAAATAAAAATATTTGATTTTATTTATTGAAACTAAATGACATATAACATATGGCTTTTATTTTGAGTAATTATAAAAATTACTTTCTATATTTAAATAAATTCGGGCCGGGTCGGTAAATTTTTTTAAAAAAAATTTCGGGTTGGGGCCTTCAAAACTATTTTTAAAAAAATTTCGGACCGGGCTGGGCTTGAAAAATTAGGCCCGATGCAGATCACTAATTTGAATATTAGAGTCCATTGATATAAATTTGATAATATATATTAGATAAAATAAGGATATAGTTATAATAAAAATTAATGGAATAAGGATATTAAGAACTTATAATTTTAGGAATTAATAAAAGGATATAAGAAGACAAGAGCTTTAATTCTATTACATTTTGAGCCAGAATAAAATAGGCGTACAACAGACTACAAATAAGCCTACATTTTAAGGAAATTAGTGTAAAAGGTGAAAATAAAGAAGTGTCTTTTATTATGATTTTTGAATTAGAATCATTTATAGGCGTACATCAAAGTACAAATAAGCCTACATTTTAAGGAAATTAGGGTAAAAGGTGAAAATAAATAGGTGTCTCTTTATTATGATTTTTGAACCAGAATCATTTATAGGCGTACATCAAAGTACAAATAAGCCCACATTTTAAGGAAATTAGGGTAAAAGTGAAAATAAAGAAGTGTCTCTTTATTAAGATTTTTGAACCAGCATCATATAGGCGTACATCATAGTACAAATAAGCCTACATTGGAATTAAAGGAAGGTTATTTTATTTGGTTCTGGTTGAATAATTTTTTTATTAGGCGTACGTCATAGTACACTAAAGCCTACCTTTCAAATTAAGGTAAAAGGTAAAATTATTTTATTTAGTTCTGGTTGAATATGTTTTGTAGACCATTGTTGGAACAGGATTTTATTAACTAAATTTTTAAGAATAACGTGGAACTTTTAAGAAAATAAAGAGGGATGATAACTTTATTAGGATTAAATTTCTTATATAAAATTTAATAATAAAGTAGAAGAAAGAGTTAGAATCAAGATGACGGATTTTGATGAAATTCTCACAGTTAAGGGAATAATAAATTGAAATTTAGAATTCATATAAAAGGGTATAAAGGAAGAAGGCATAGGAAGGACAAATTTATATATTATAGATCATAGGAAAAGGGAATATAAATGAAGGGATTTAAAGGTTTAGGAATGTGGTGTAAGGGGAGGGTAGTGGGAAATTTTTAGATTAATTATTAAGAGAAAAAAAGACTCAATGGAAAGGGAGAAGAAGGAATGGAAATGATCGATAATTGATGGCAGATATAAAGGCTGATAGGAAAGGAGTGATAAGATAACATCGAACATGAAAGACAAAATAGAAACCGATAAGCGAACAATAAAGATTAGAATTTTGTTATATTGTATCATCTATTATAAATTTAAATTTTTTTTGGCCTTGATTGTAATTAGTCAAAATTATTTGTAATATGACGTTATATTTTTACTATCATTAAGCTTTATACAATTCAGTGAGAATAGTGATAATTATATAATTTACTTAGGAATTTTAGTTATAATTGCTCTATCTAGTTATTAACTAAATGGATCCGTCTAGTTTAACATAAATTTATATATCTATATAATATTGTAATACACACACAAACAAAGTATATTTTATTTATATAAACATAACCAAAAATACACAATATTGTATTATACAAGACATACATAAACATTTTAAACATATTAATTTGTATTTCAGGCAAATTTCCTTTATTATAACACACAATAAATCAGACATATGCGCGATTATTTAATATAGATATATAGAGGAAATGAATTTGGGGGAAAGAGTGAGAATGGAGACTAAACGAGAAAAAGAGACGTTAAGAGACGAAAAAGACAGATGATTGATAAGGGAAGAAATGGTGCAATGATGAAGAATAAGAAAAATGGTGATGGTGGAACAAAGGGAATGGTAGTAGTCGAAATATGATGATGATGAAAGGATTAGAGCATTGATGTACGAGTACATCAGATGCGGGAAATATTGAAAAAATAACAACCCGGAAACTAGTGATCGTTATAGGTAAGTCAAATAGAGAGTAGGAGGAGAGAAACACGGAAACGATGATAGGAGATGATGGAAAGGAAGAGGAATCAAAGGAGGACAGTGCGAAATAAAGAGGGGAGATGTCATATATGATGATATATATGTGACGTCGAATAGAAAGAAGAAAGAGGAAATGGAGAGCATTATTTATTATTTTATAATCATAAGAGATTTTGTTGGATAATTTTTAATGATATTATGATGATTTGAATTTGAATATTGTTTTTTTTTAAATTTTACAAAATTTCATTTTTAATTTATAATTTGGAATTCTACTATAAAGAATCAATAAAGTTATATACACCAATATCGATATATATTTATATTTAATTATAATTTGGTATATATATAATATATTCTATATTAGATATTATTTGATAATTGCTTATTTTTTAAATTGGATATATGTTTTTGCCTTGTTGAATGTTTTTTCTACGTCATGGACTCTTCCATGGCTAATATTAAATTTTGTATTGCATATTTGAATAAAAGGAATTCCAATTTAGATGCAATTTAAAAATTGTTTTGGATGTTAAACTTGTCTTTAAACTAAAATTTATATATAATTTAAATGACTGGAATAAAATTTATATATAATAATTTAAATGAATGGAATAAAATTGGATATTTAATTAATCAAAAATTATTAGGTTATATAAAACTGTTAAATTTTTAAATAATAAATTGCTTACTTCTAAAATATTATTTCATATAGATTGATTTCTAAAAAGAATCATAGGAAGTATTATTATATGATTTATCATAATATATCTTAAAATTAAAAGATATTATATTATTATTATATTTTAAATTGGAAAGTTTTGGAGATCGATTTATAAAAAAAATAAATGGAGAATTTTTTTTAGGAAAATCGGGAGAAAGTTAAAAAAATAGAGAGAAAGCTTAAATGTAAACTAAAGTAAAAAATAGGGAAATTACTCCAAAAGCGGGAGATCTGCCAACCCTGAATATGACATTTTCATTTTATTCAGATAGTAGTTTGGAACCTGAATGGTTTAAAGGAGCTTTTAAAAAGTGGGCTCTAGGTTCTGGCTTCTAAATTTGACGCGGTTCCCAGGGTACCAGTTGTTAAAGTTATGAAAAAAAGAGTTTTTTTTATTGTATTATTTGAATATTAAAATGAGAGATGAATATAAAAGTTATCCTTAACGAACTTGAATGTACGGAGAATATGATTGTTTATTTTAAATTTAGCATATAAAATGATTTTTGAATATTAATTTTTGTTATTAACATATAAAAAAAAAGCCATTATTCTTAACGAACTTGAATGGACGGAGAATATTATTGTTTATTTTAATTTTACATATAAAATTTTTTTTTGAATATTAATTTTTTTTGATTAACATATATAAACCCGTATTTTGTGAATTATAAATATTCATTTTATTTTAAATTCTTTTTTTTACATAATTTGTATTTGGTAATAATAAAGTTATATCCTTAAAAAATATTATTATATTTATATTGAATATATTTATCTTACCAATTATACCAAAAACTTCGAAATTCAACACTGGTCCGAAGAGTAAAAATACTCAGGGACCGCAGATTTTCAGTCTAAAAGAGACGATACAATAAAATTTAGAAGAAGTAAATTGTGATTACAAGTCAATTCTTTGTATATATCAGCGTAATTAAGGTAAAAAAAATTATATTCATGATATATTTATTTTACTTTTTATTTATAATATTAATAATTGTTTTATATTTAATTAATTTTGGTAGGATTTTTAAATTATTTTTAATTAGATTTTTATTAAGCACGTTATAATGTATATTAATCAAATGAGTATTTGGAATTTATTTTTAGATAATATAATTTTAATAGTTTTTGTGGTTTTTTTGTTTTTACATTAGGTGTAATCATAGGGAGAAGTACAGCTTAATTAAGATAGAGATTATAGAATTAGAAAAGGTTAAGAATATATTGAGAGATGTAGAGAAGAAGATAAATATAGATAATTTCAGACGGACAGATAATTATAGACAAAAATTTGTTTTAGTTGCGGCCAGCCGGGTCACATGTCGCGACAATGTGATTTAACGAAAGATTTAAAGTGCGCGAGATGTGGCAAGAATGGCCATGTAGCTATTAGATGCAGATTAGACAATTTGATATTAAGATGTAATACGTGTGGTCAAGATGGACACACACAAGAGAGATGTAAGAAATGACTAATAGAAGGAAATGATAATTTTAATAATAATTTGAATGATAATTTTAATAATAATTTGAAT